GGTGATGGAAAATAAGAAGAGATTGACTAACGGATTATGAAAGCTAACGCGTTCAGCGTGAACTAGGCTGAACCTATGTGACTAAAGCAGGTGTGGTCTGAGCTCCATGTGTTAAAATCGATCTTCATCTCGATGCTCACTTAAGGTTCCGAATAATGGGCCATAACCGAAAAACTTCGTTGGTACAAGCGGTTGCAATGGGCTTTCTGAAACGAATCGCTAATCTCACGCGTCTTGCCAGGATCCGGAATGCTGAAATTCGAGAGAGCCTTGGTGTACTGCCGCTGCTTAAGTTGAGAAGTAACAGCTGTTATGGTTTGGGCACGTGTTGCAAATGCTTTCAAAAAGAATGGCGAAACAGTTACAATTTGCCCAAATGATCGATCGAAGACACCGGAGTAAGCAAACAGCAACCTAGGGTTAATATATTTAAGGACTCTGCTCTAGACTTCGGTTGTCTTCTGCCGAAGCTCAAATGCTAGCACAGCATCGGAAAAATTGGAGACACTGTCTGAGGCGTTTGCCTCAATAATCCAAAAGAATAATAGGTTATCGAAACAAACTGACTGATTCCATTCTGTACGTCTGGCATTATTAGTCTTGGCTCAATGGGATCATTCTGGTCCGTGACTCTCAATGGCAATAACAACACACTTTTAACTCAGTTACGCAAGAAATCAGCAGTCGAAATCAACTGTAATGAAGGGAAACGGAACCTTCTGGAACTTGACCCTTCTCTTAATGATCATCTTTATTAGCGTAGCAAAGCAACTTCAACTCAATGCGCAAAAAGTACTTATTTTTGAACTCTCCGGTAAAAATAAAACAACAGACTATTTGGCTGACCCATATCGATCCACTTCCCGGTCAGAAGTCTAATCATTCTGACGAGACATACGAACTCGAAAAAGCAGAAAATCATCTTGAAGCCTAATCTTGAACTGTAATCGAACCCATCAAGATTAAGCTAAGAAAGACTTTTTGTATTTCAGGCGTCAAACACTGCAGCAACAAAAGTAAAGATAATATTTAGCAAGTGAGTGAAATTACTAAAGGCGTCAGATAGTCAAAATTTTTCAATAATTTGTCAGTAATGAGATATTTTATAGGGGACACAATTTCTAAAATTTCAAAAACTGCAACGTCGTTAAATTAAACTTTAATCCTATACGACGGTACTTTTACAGTACTCTAATAAATTACAATACTTCAGTGATGCTCGGAAATGGGGATCGCAAAATGAAAGGAAATTCGCCAAATTCTGCAACAGAATCACACCTACAATCATAGTACCAAATTCTCTTTCTCTGGAGCAGTGCTACGTTGCTGCGTAAGCCACCTAGTTCGCCATTTTTCTGAGACATACTAAACCTTGAAAAATTTATCTCATTTACGCGGCAAACTTTCTACTGTTAACTTAGAGCAAGGTTGTTTTTGATGTAGCTGCAATACCGTTTAGTAGTAGAGTTTCGTCTTGAAGTACTCGTGAAGGTTTGTTTTAGCAGCGTCATATATTCGTGGTAAATCATTCTAGATTTCAGGATAAATGAAAACGATCAGCGCGTTTACGATCTGCCTCTGAAGCGCACTCCTCGTACATTTAAGTATTTTTTAACGTACGAGCAACTAGTTCTAAAACAAAGAGCAAATCACTTTCAATAGTTCCTAAATTGCTTTCCTTCCTGAGGTTTGTTTCAGATGACAAAGAAAACATTTAAGGGCAAGTTCAGTAAGGTACTGAACTCGGTTCAAATTCAGGACTGAAAAAGCTTCAAGGATTCGAAGTAATTTATATGGGATAAGCTAACATTTGCCTGATGAACGATTTCAAGCATGTTATAACTACCGCTCAGGAACACTGCCACAGAGCAGTTCAGACACTTCAGTTGTCACCGAGAAGCTCTTTCAGACTCATTAACTCACTGCAGCACGTCATTGTTACCCAAAATAAGAAGACGTAGTAAAACATTCATTCACTGGGATACAAGGGTAACAAGTTTATAAGCTTTCCAGATGGCTTTGGTTGTCCATTAATCGAACTAAATCTAGAACGGCCTATATTCAATACAGCGGCAAAGCCAGGACTTCAATATCCTCCAGCTACGGGGACTTCTCTCTGCCCTTTCACAGAGTAATATCCGGTAACTTCGGGAACAGTCCATATTGATGAATAACGTATGATAAATTTTATCAATGCACATGATGAAAGTGAGTAGGTGGATGCCGAATGAATAATTTTAGTACTTTTGAGAAAGTAAATTTGCTTACTTTATGGGAACTGCTCACTGGTCACAGACGTTATGCCAGACACACAAGTCGCCGAAACAACAGCAACATGCATACCGCCTGCGATAAGGAATGTATCCTTCGTCGCATCAACAAATACAACAGTAACAATTGACTGGTCCTTCTTCATAAATAACGGGGATCCCACTGTGCCTAGTCTTGATGCCCACCTTCGTCTGTTTCATACAATTTGTCACCACAAGCTTCCACAAGCATAAATTTATGGAGGATGCGAAATGTGAACCCAAAGTCTGAAAGCTACTATTAACGTGCAGACTACGCAAAGCAGCACGGAAGTGTCTATCCTTGGAATAAGCAAAAAGATAGGAAGACAAATCAATGGATATCTGATGTCACTACGAGAGTAAAAAAGCTAAAGTGGAAATGCGCAAGACACGTTGCAGGAAGAACTGGCCAACTCTGGACTAGAGGCATTAGACTTGGTTCCAAGACAGGATATACAACCCTACGAAGACCTCAAAATTGAAGGAAAGACGAACTGAAGAAATTCATTCGATCAAGATGGATAAGAATAGCTAAAAACAGAAGTTCATGGCAAAGTCTTAAAGAGGTCTTGAACCAGCAACAGATCTAAAAAGGTTAATGATAACAAATTTTCAGAAAAGACTGCGAGTGGCCGGATGATTAAAATGGCAATGAACAGACGAGAGTGTACCGCGAGCGAAGATTAACGAAATTTCTAACCTCAATCAAAGGATTTAATAAGTTAACGACTTGATGCAAACATGACGTAGGGAAATGAGTTCGGCGAAGGGGTAAACATGATAGACCATTACTATCCATCCAAGAAAGTTTATCACAGGACAGCGAGATGGTGTAAAGGTAGCCGGATAGTAGAAATTCACGGTAAAAGTATTAACTTTGGTGGCAGCTGTGGCGACTCTACGCAGACAAAACAAAACACAATAGTAAACGACCTTATTTAAAAAGAATATCTCTCTTAAGCCGATGTGAGTGCGAAAAGTTGAAGCGTGCTTGATGTTGCAATCTAGGAAAGTAGAATGTTAAAGACTGAAACCTTCTAGCTGCATCTGTGTTCCGCGTGACATATGTGAAATAAGCGTAGGTGAGGAAACAATAGAAGACTGACAAAGTTTAAAAAGTCATTCTTTAGCACGGTTGGCAACCACAACGCTTGAACAAGTTCCAGAAAATCTGGTACACAGCATGACATGCATATACAGGAATAGACTGCGAGAAAAACTATGTAGCAAAAGAGGGCTTTCAGAGAAAATTCCTCTAGAAGTTAGGCACTGGATTTGAATCT